TAGCTTTTTTCCATTAAGAACAGAACTGTGCATCAATCCATTCCAATCATAAGAGTATAACAATGTGCAGTTACTGCTGATCTGACCTGAATTAAATCCAGTGATCTGAAGATGAAATGGACTCAGTTCAAAAGGTGTTTTAAATATCACCCTAAATAAATTAATGTAATCTACCCTTTGTAGGATCATCATATGGTTCTGTTTCTCATAATTACAGTCTAATATTTTTTCCAAATTTTTCTTTGGCAGTTTTAAAATTTTCTTCTGCTAGGATTTGCATTAAATGCTTTACAGCATACACAAGGCAATACAGGAAACAGGTGTAACCTACTGTTGAGGCAGAGGGATTAAAGTAGTCTGACAACTTCAGGCTGTGGGATGCAAGATCTGACAAGCTAAATATGACTTGATCAATGTATGAATGGGAAACCGCCAATAAAAAGGTTCTGTAGGAATTGTTGTTTCTACAGAACCAATAGTTTTACCCTTAGAACAACTGGCACATAAATAAATGCCTGATCATTGTGAGACAGTGTCCTGATTTTCAGATGTGCCACCTTTTGTCAAGATCTAAAACTGAGATTTTTACTGTGTGAGACAAATACTTCTGTAAGAGTAATTGCATCAGTGCTGGTTTCCTAGGCAAAATCTGTTTTGGGAACAAATTTCTAATTAATGGCTAAATTTCCTTTAAGTTTCAGTTAGAGATATCATTCTTCCTCACTTCCTGACTTTAAACTGCTGTTTAGTGATAGTGCATGGACATACAAGTTTGTACATAATAAGACATGGCTTGCTATTGTTTCATTGATAGCCAGACAATGTTACTGATTTATTGAAGTCTGAGTATTACCTAATCAGATACAGGCTGAAAGGAGGAGGTGTTGGTAAAGGAACCTCCTAGTATTTGAAAGGCATTGGCTCACTGAGATTAGGGCACTTGGGAGGGATATTCATGTCTGGATCCATCTGTAGTAAGCTCTGCTCAAGTCCTGAAAGCAAAAGAATCCATGTGAAAAGCCTGTGGCTTCAGGCTTGGGATTTTTCAGGTCAGAATTTATAATACAAGTTGGATGCTGAAGCAACTCAGGAATTGACTAGAATTTGTGGTAAAAAGGCAGTGAGGTGAAGGAACCTTGAAGTTTGAATGATACCCATGAAGCATCACCACTGCTCTTATGCAGGGCCATCCCTAGTGGGGGGGCAAATTGGGTCAACCACCCTGGGCCCTGTGCTTTGGGGGGCCCTGTGGACAGTGCTGTACAGGCCCTGCTGCAGCTGCCACGTGCCACGCTCATCGAGCACTTCTGGCTCCACCTGCTTGGGGCTCAGCACAGACTCTTATGCACCTTGAAGATACCTTGTGTGACAGTGGAGTTCTGGGACTCAGTGGGAAGTTGGTTTGAACTCTCTCCCTGCTTCTAACAATAAAATTCCCTCTTTCTAGCTAGGTGTAGCATTTGATGAAGTAGGTTAGTGCCTATGAAAGCTAATGCCTCTCTGAACCAATTAGTCTCTAAGGTGTCACCCTGCCCTGCCTTCTGCCTGATGTCAGACTAACATGGCTAACTACCTCTTTATTTCTAGCTAGGCAGGGCTGTAGAGGGGAACCACATCCTTTAAAATGGTGACATCCTACATCAGTGGTTTCCAACCTTTTAAAGTAGGAGATCACCTTTTGACATGTAAAAGCAACCCAAGATCCACCATGCACTGCTGTCACACCCCTCTCCCCCTGCCCAGCAGGTAAGTCTGTGGGGAGGGAAGGAGGTAGGTCCCACCCTTACTTTCCCTGGTAGGTAAGTCCCACCCAGCCGGGGCCCCACTCAACTTATCCCTGCTTCTGCCTCTGTGGCACTGTCTCACTGTGGGGGCCTTGATTTAGCCTCCGCCCCTTCCCTCCCCCATGGGCTGGGCTGGGGTGCGCATCTACATGCATGCGGGCACTTAGCCCCCCACCCCAGCCTCGGATCAACTTCCCGAGGCTCCGAGATCTACTGGTAGATTGAGATCCACTGGTTGGTGACCAGTGTCCTATATAGATAAAAGCTGCTTATGGCCCTTGTCTGAGTTCTGCCTATTCTGGACCTTGGACTGCAGTAGTTTTGGGAGGGAACAGGGATAAAGAGATGTCTCTTTAGTGGCTTAGCATTTTGGAATAATGGAATAAGTTCTGGAGACCTGGACAAGGAGTGTAGGGTAGATGAAGCAGCCCAAGCCGTATTATAAATCAGTTTAGCCTTTGAATCTGCAGTTTGTTGTATTGGCTCTATATATACAGTATGGTTTCTAAAATCTGAGATCTGCAGTGAGAGAAATGGAAATGGGTCTCTTATGTTGAAACGCTGCATTTCCTAGTACCCCGTATTGTGCCCTGTCTCCGTCAAAGCAATCACTGCACTAAATGCTATTTGCTAATTTTTTATTGAGAGAATAGGGCTGTGCGAAACGGCTGTGTTTCGTTTTGGTTTTGGAGGGGCAGTGATTAGTTTCAGTGTTTTGGATCACTCCTGTTTCGATTCTGCCGAACCTGTTTTGGAGTTTCAACGCTGTTTTGGTGTTTCGGCCATAGGCTATAATGTGGAATCATATAAATGCCTATAACTTTGTCATTTCATGCCTGATTCAGATGGGAATTGCAGGGATGGTAGCCCATTGTGAGAGCATGAAGCCTGCCATGTTTCAAGGAGATAGGTGTAGGAGTTTTTGTGAAACTTCACCTCAAACTGTTCAAAGCAAAACTAGTATCACTTGCTGGCTGTGGCAGCATGCTTTTAGCCTGCATGCAGATCCAGGGGCCCACACCCCACCGGGAAGAGCTGGGGGAAGTGATCAGAGGAAACACTGTGGAGCTTGGGGAATCGAACTGGGGGAATGTTCAGGAACCTACAGGCTGGGGCCAGCAGCAGCACCGCAGTCTTTCTGGTGCTTGATGCAGGCTGTGCTGAGCAGCTGCTGCTGAAACCCTGCGTGCAGATCTGGGGGATTGCACGCCCTGGGAAGAGCTGGGGGAATCGAACTGGGAACTGGGGAATCGAGCCAGGACCTGGACGTCAATATCAGAGCAGTCCTTCCCCCCATCTCTTTCTCCTCCCTCTTTTTAGTTTTTGTTTTCCTGCAAACCTGGCTCCAAAACTCTGCAATTCTCCAAAACATTTCGGAAATGTTTCGGAGCCTTCCTATTAATTTCAGAACTGGTTTGGAGCCTCCTGTTTTGATTTGGATTTGGTGTTTTGGGCGCCGAAATGTCCTGAAACACCTATGAAATGAAATGGCTGCCAAAATTTCACACAGCCCTGGAGAATGACAAGGTCTTAGTTTATTTGATACTAATTAGCAGAGAAACAATTCCATAGTTATTTTGTTTGTTTACTTTTTTAGCTTGATAACTTATTTAATTTGCTGAATTGCCAAAAAAATCTTTAAGGGCTTTATTAACCAGCTACTTTTGGGAAAAATAGAGAAAATAAATAGTATTCTATACTTGGATCAATACATTATTGAGCTGGGAGAGTTTTATCCACTTTTAAAACTGAGAAGCAATGCAGGACTAGATGGGCCTTAAATTCTGATTTAGTATCTCAGTTGGCTTCTCTCCTCTCCCTTGAGTTAGCACCAGTCACCATTATGGAGTCAAACTGGAGAGTCATATGTTGGTGGTGTATGTGCAATTAGACTATTGGCAAAGTCTAGTTAAGGAAACACTGGCCAAGTACAGATGTTCAGAAAAGCCTGAGGTGGAAATGCTCTAAGTATAGCGCTTTACTCAAATTGCTCTAGATTAGGTCGGGACTGATCAGAACACGTGTGCATTGTTTGGTGGGGGGGCTTGAAGCCTGCATGTAGTGGATAAGGCCAGCAGGCTGGGGGTGTTCCCACTCACCTCCTAGGAGGCTGCGGGAGAATGCTGAGCCCCACCTGAGCAGCTGGCCACCCCTGGTTGGCCAGCAGGCCCCTCTCCCCAGCCCTGCCCCCCACCCTGCCATATGGCTACTGTCAGTGCCAGCAGCTGGGGGGTGAGGTTGGAGGGGGGAAAGCCTCTGCCTTAGAAGGCTCTGTTTTCCATCCCACTCCCCACAGTTCCTGGCTTGGCGAAAAGCAGCAGAGTCCTGAGCTACAGCTGGAGGAGTGAAGCCTCTGTGCTGCATGGACCCGGCCCAATCACCACCAAGACCTGAGCCCTCAAGCTTTTCAGAGGGGGATCCGTGCAGCAGAGCAGCTCCATTTTGCCATCCCTGACACAGTTTCTGGCATGGCAAAATGTGGCACAGCCTTAAGCTGCAGCCCCTGGCTGCAACGGAGGAAGTAGAGGCTCTCTGCCGTGTGGATCCTCCCCCCTCACCCCACAGCTTGTGGGCAAGGGTCTTGGTGGGGGCCTGTCTGGGTCCACATGGCAAAGGGTCTCCTCTCCAATTCTCCTTCGGTGCCACAGTTTCTGGTGTGGTGAAAAGTGGCATGACCCCAGACTGTAGCTCTCTGCTGCATGGACCTGGCCCAGCCCCCACCAAAACCTCTGCTCACAAGCTGGGGCGGAGGGATGTATGTGGCAGAGAGCTTTGTTCCCCCACCCCCTGCCTGGCTGTGCAGGGAGGAATTGGAGCCTTTTTTGTCTCCTCTTTGTGACAGCTTGGGTCAGGGCTGGGCAGGTGAGCACTGGCTGAGGCTAGCAAGCTGCCCAGTGAGGGGCTGCTGGGATCTTGGCAGAATGCAACCTATCTTGATTCAGGATTGGATATTGTACAGGCATTTGATAAAGCACTCTAACCTAAAGTGCTTTAGTCTGATACCACATCCATCCAGGGTTAATTTAGAGTGGGGTCTACTATTTTTAAAGTACTCTATGTGCTGTGAATGTCTGTTGAGTTACAGCTTTAGAACACTTTCTGTGTGCTTAATGTGTGATGAGTGTAACTTCTGTACAGGCTCAGTGTGGTTAGGCATTTGCACAAATGGATGGAAAATTTGTATTTAAGTTTTATTTTTTTTCTCTTCCACAGATTGATAAATATCTTTATGCTATGCGGCTCTCTGATGAAACCCTGTTGGATATTATGGCTCGCTTCAGGAGAGAGATGAAAAATGGTCTTTCTAGAGACTTCAATCCAACAGCTACAATAAAAATGCTTCCTACATTTGTAAGATCAATTCCTGATGGCTCAGGTAAGGAATGGTATATTTTAGATGTATTTATATAATGTACTGCATAAAAAAGTTTCTTAAAACATCAAAACCAAACGTAGCATTTTACTTTTTGGACACAAATAACATGTCTTTCATTTGCTGAAATGCATTCTAATGAATGGCAATCTAGGCTGGTACCTTTCCAAATTGCCTCCTTAGACCTGTCGTAGAGTATTTTTAGTTTTCCGTGAGATGCTTAAGAATTGTAATTTGGTATGGAAACTGTATTAGATTTATAAGACATCAGGCCTGCAACCAGGACACAGACAGTCACTAAGCCAGGTCAGGGAGCTGGCAAAGCATTGTGGAGCAGAGGGGTCAACAGGCAGGAGCCAGGAACAAGGATGAAGCTAGGAATTCAAGTATCGGGATGCAGGGAACTGGAACAACAAGCAGGACCCAATGTCCTAGGACCAGAGTCAGGGATTTACCAGTACCTAAGTGTGGCGGAGCACCTTTGGGGTGCTCGCCATGTGGCAGGGGCTGCAGTAGGCTGGGGCAGAGCCCAGCAAGGGCGGCAGCCAAGTGGAGCCCCCCAGATCTCATTCTAAGGGGGGAGGTGTGTGGCAGAGCACCTTTAGGGGTGCTTGCCACTTGCGGGCTCTAACAGGCTCTGAGGAGAGCCTGCTTTGGAGGAACAGCAGGGGAAACCTTCCCCAGGTACCATTTTAAGGGAGGAGGCATGATGTAGCAGGGTACTGTTGGTGCCTGCCACTTCAAGACCTGAGCCAAGCAGCCAGCCGGTGCTTAATTGTGGCAGCCATTTTAGATCCCTGGCTGCCTATATAAACAGATCAGTTGCCTGCTGGCAGGGAAGCAGTAACAATGCCTGGCTGTAAGGCTGCTGGTATCATCCTGGAGGTAAGGGAGGAGCTGTAGGGGATGGCTAGGAGGCTCCTGGTTCTGGGCATGACCTAAAACTGCACCCCGCCTGGAGTGGGTGGCCTGGTGGGGCTCTCAGTGGCGCGGGAGCCCCCAGGAAATGCCAAGCCAGTGATCATCCTGGTGAAAGGCAGGTAGGGGTGCTGTAACCCTAGCCCTCACCTTTGGGTGGGTCTGGTAACATCGGAGTTAGTGGGGGTCAGGCACGGTTATGGCCACCTGAGCCCTGTGGGGTGCAAGACCCCGAGAAGGGAGAGTGGGAGCCAGGCATGGCTGCAGCCACCTGAGCCTTGTGGGGTGCAAGACCCTGAGGAAAGGATTGTTGGGGCCAGGCATGGCTATGGCCACTTGAGCCCACTAGGGAGGGAAGCCCCATGGCCCCAAGTGAGGGCGCGGTGTGGGGCCCCAAGTGAGGGGGCAGTGTGGAGCTCTGAGTGAAGGGGAGTAAGCTAAGGTATGTTTTTAGATGCCTGAGGCTGTAATTTGGGCCAGAGGCTGAGTAAAGGGGGCTCAGCCCTGACCCCAGTAAGTCCTCCATTGCTGGGAGGCTGAGTGTGGGTCAAAAGCAAGATCTATAGTGAGCACAATGACATGCTGCTCCCAGGGGAGGATTGAGAGTCCCCGTGAGACCCTGGAACACCAGTCGTGGTGGTGAGTTACCCCAGTTCCCACAACCAGGCGGGTAACCCTTAGTAGGGGCCAGAAGGTGAACCCAAGAGAGTGAGGGGGCTAGTGGCAGAGGCCTGAGGTAGAATACCCTCGACTGGTCAATGCTGGGGCCAGACCAGAATGGTCAAAAGGGCCAGGGGCCCACTGTTAGGGATGCCCAGATCTGAGGCCCTGGGGTTCTGACTGGCCTTGGAGGTGTGAGGCCAGGGCCTGTGTGGCCAAAGGTCCTGGGGGGGGCCATGCCTGAGAGGGAAGATAGTTTTAGGGAGCTAGGCAGCCCGAATGAAGGTGGTGTACGCCACCAGAATGGAGGGATCTTAGAGGGGTCCGAACTGGAGGATTCTGGGGCCCAGTGTGGGGCTGGTGAGATTAACAGCTAGATTCCATCTGCGAGGCATGGGCTGCGGTGTAGGGGAGGTACGGAGCTGCAGATAGTGCCCCTGGCATCGGGGCATGAATGGGCAGCTTCCTGTCTTAATTAACATCTTAACTAATTAAGAACAAGGCATGGCAGACGAGTTGGGTGGAACCTAGCACCATGGCTAGGTGGGGAGCCCCACTTTGCCACACTAAGATCAAAGCCGGGTACTCATCTGGTTGCTGTGTTGTCAAGTAAAATGTCAAAACAAGGTCCTGGTCAGGGCAGCAGTAATCAAGGGCAGGAGATCAAAGACGGGAACAAGCAGAAGACACCAAGACATCAGTATCTAACAATACTGTTGCTGGGACTGACTTTATAGGAAGTGGGAAAGTGTTATAGCAGGAGCGGGCAATTATTTTGGGCAGAGGGCTGCTTAATGAGGTTTGGTGAGCTGTGGAGAGTCCTATGGGTAGTCCTACCCTTTGACAGGTTCCCCACCCTCTGGCTACCGCTTTGGGACCAGAAGTCCCGCCCCCTAACCCCTGACCTTTGCCATCAGACATCCCTCCCCTTGTCCCCCAGAAATACTCCTTTTGGGAGGGGGAGTTGTCATCTTGGAAACAGAAAAAAACAAATCATACACTAAAAGTCAAACACCTGGTATAACATATTTTAATTTTATTACAAGAAATATTTTTGTCATGATTTGTATTTGTGTACGGTATATAGAGGTGATTACATAATAACTAAAAAATAAATTCCTAGGCTTTTATATTGTGTGTGGGGGGGGATGTGTGTGTATGGTGGGGTGTGGGGGTATTAATGGTGGGGTGTTTGTGCTTATATGTATGATGGAGTGTGGGAGGGTTGGGGGTGTGTTTACGGTGGGGTGTGTATGGTGGGGTGGGATATGTATAGTGGGTGTGAGTATAGTTGGTGTGCATCGTAGGGTGTGTATAGTGGGGTGTGTGTAGGAGCTTGTGAGGGGGTGTTGTGTGTGGGGGCGTATGATATGTTGGGGAGTTGTGTGGCATAAGTGGGGTGTGGGTGCGTGGCTCTGGAACACACTGTCCTCTTCTGCAGGCAACACTGGGTGGGTGGGGTATATATCTGTGTGTGTGGATTTTGGGGTGTGGGGACCCCTCACACTGGCCCCCATAGTGCAGCAGCAGGCAGGGGCTCTGGTGCCTGGCTCTAGCCAGTGCTGCACATTGCTGCATGGAGCTCAGCCCCTGCTGGGCCGTTTGTTTCCCTGGGTCTCCCCACACTCGCGGGGCACAAGAAGGAAGCTCCCCCTTTCCCTACCTGCTGCCTGGAGGGAGCCCAGGAAGCCTGCAGCAACAGCCTTATCCATGCTACTGGGCCAGTCCTTCTGCCCACAAAGGTGGGAATGAGGCATAATAGGATATTTTGGGGACAGGTGTAGGTGCCTTGCTCCCACCCTCATGGGTAGAAGGTCTGGGCGGGGCACAATTTGTTGGGGGCTGCTGTGGGCCGGATGAAAGTGCCTGGTGGGTCGGTTGTGGCCTGCGGGCTGTATTTTGCCCATCCCTGTTTTACAGCCAATTCCATCAGGGGCTTGCAGCTCCTATTGGTTCACTCAGATCACCTGGTTTTCCATTTATGATCTTCCCCAGGTCCTCTGGAGAACCTGAAGGGTGATCATAAAGAAAATGGAGATGGGCTTTTTTCTGTGGTTGTAGGTGGCAGGACCAGAAGCAATGCTACAGCAGAGGACATTTAGGTTGGAAAATAAGAACTTTTTGATTATGAATGTAGTTAAGTACTAGAAATAGGGTACCCAGAGAAGCTGTGGAATCTCCATCCCTGGAAATTATTAAGAGTAGCTTAGGTAGACAGTTGGCTGGAATGGTTTAGTCAGGGATGATCTTGCTTTGAGCAGGGGGCTGGGCTAGATGAGCTTGTGAGGTCCCTTACAGCCCTGCTTTCCTATGATCTACATGCCTTAAGTTGCAGATCTTTTTGTGATGTATTTTTCTGTATTTCCCAGCAGGAGGAAAATGGTAAATTAATGAGTCATGTGCCTTGTCATTAAAAACAAAAGGGACAGGATGCTGTATTATGATTTAGTCCTGGCTGTTCTGTATAGAATTCTTTGACACACGTGAACAAAATAGCTGTTTAATCATAACTTTTTAGTATTTTTACTAAAATCTGAAAATATACTTATTTGAATGCTATAAGAGACTTGGCAGAAGTTGAAATTGAAAATAAGAAAATACTAAGCAGTTAATGGATTTCTAAACCCAATATACAGAGAGATTAAAAGACATGCACTTAAAATCAGAATAGAGTCTAGTCAGAACAACCTTTGTTTTGTAACAACTGTGAAAATAATTAGTGACAGTTTCAGTGTACAAATTAGTTACAAGTCTCAGACCTTGCAGGAAAATTGAAAGCTTGACCATTGTAAAGAAATATTGTTTAGTCACTAATCTGAGTGCCTATACTGTATGAACAATGAACCTTTGAATAAAAATTTTCAGAGACTAGAGAGATGCATTTTCTTTTTTGTTCATTTTGATCTTGTTAATTTGAGAAAATAATGATTTTGGCTATCACAACTGGAACATCTCAAGCTAATGTGGGATACTTTTCAAAATGAACTTTCTAAATTAACTGCTGGTATGCTTAATTCCATCTTTGTGTTAAACATGCTTAAATTAAATAGTGTTGCCTAGACTTGTTTAACTCTTCAGTTATTCTGTATTTGAAATATTAATTTATTCACTGACAACTTTAATTTAGTTTAGTTTTTTTAATTATCAAAAAGCATATATTTCTCTTTCAACTTTCAATTGGAAGGAAACATAAGTATGTCAGAAATCAAATACGTTAATTTGTTAACATATGGTCAAGATTACATTTCTTGAGTGTGATGTTTGAACAATATTCTAGGGTGCATTTAGGCTTGAAAAAGGACCATCTGTTCTAGTGTTTATTTTCCATTATTTATTAGGAGGTAATGGCCTACATTAGACACTTATATTCTATTATGACATGACTTAGTGAGGTATTTAATTTAATGAGGTGCTTGGGATGAGCA